TACCACATTGTATTCCCCTGTTTATCAATTGATGGAAAAGAACTGTTTGTTCGAGTTGGTCCTTTAGGGCCGGCTCTGTAACACAGTGGTAATGCCCACTTGAGAGAACTGTGTCCCACATGGCAGCCAAGGTGTGCATCCCCAGCCTGGTCATCCTAAAACATGCCAATCCAACAGGCTGAGAGGCGGGAGGAAGGGATGGCAGTGTGTCCAGACTCTGTAGAGGGTGCTCCTTCTCTTTCATGCATGCCTGCTCTCTATCACGAATAAAGAAAAAAAAATTTTTTAACAAATGATTTTTTGCTTTCCTCAGAAAGGGTGTGTCCCTGAAGATACTCAGAGGGAGAATGTGCCCACAGGCCACGTCATGCTTCCTTCTCCATCTGGTAGGGTCTGATTTTCTGGAATACTCCAGACAAGTGCTCTAGATTGACCCTGGCTGATCTACAAGTTGACACAGAGCACCTTTACATTCTTTCTTTAAAAGAATTATTCATTGGGGCTGGTGAAGAAGCAAGACTTCAGATCTGGGACTCATACCATGGCCAGTCAAGTGGGAGTCCAGAGCCTTAACCACCATACCACCTGCTGGTCCTCAGGGCACATTTTCAAGTAGCGATTTCTGGAGCCCAGGGACTATCACTGTCAAGATGAAGGAGTAGGAATGTCAATTCTTGCCCTCCAGGGCTTAAGGGTCTTGCCCCCTTCATCCCCATCCCAGCTAAAGCCACCCAGATAGACACACAGCCTAAGTGAAACAGCACTTCATCACCTGCCTTGCTCACTGTGCAAGCAAGCGCCCCACCTGCAACCTCTGCCCAGGTGAACACTCTCTTTGGCTTTGGGAGGCTTCCTGCTACTCCTTGGGTCTTGTCTGTGGTCACTACCATCTTTAGTGGCAAAGATCCCTCAGATGGAGCTGCTGGATAGGAGAGACAGCAATCAGCACACACTCGTGATGGCTTGCTCAATCACCAAGTGACCTGAAGTCTACGCCCACACTAGCTCATTTCCACCAGGAACGAGCTGTCGGCTAGGATTACCAGACGGCTTCCACGTGCTTTTCTTTGAGCATGTGAGGTTCCCAGACGCTCTGGCCTCTGCCCTCCACTCTGTGTCTGCCCTCTGCCCTCCACTCTGTTTCTGCGGAGGGCTCCAGGGCCAGCCACTCTGGCTTCCCTCAGGGTGTTGAGGGAGCTATAACCAAGACAATGACAGATAAGATGCAGCTTTGGATGATGAAAATCCTCTGGGCAGCTTTTCCATTTGTGCTCTGTCAGGGGGATTCGCAGGGCGAGAGGGAGGAGCACCGGTAAGTACTATTCTGACTCCCACTCACCTCCATGTTCTCCACCCCGGGGAAGCCAGGAGATGAGAGAGGAGATGCCCTCAGCACCTGTCCTAAAATGCCAGCACCTTCCTGTTGTATCCAGGATGGGACAGGGCCCCTGCAGCAATGAAGCATTTTTCCTGAGGTCTTCAGGGTGACAGAGCTCTCTCCACAGGGGGGAACATTGTCCTTCTAACCCCTGATTGGGTCTCACACTTGAGGGTGTCTGAGGATTGGTCTCCATCTGCTCTGAGAAGGTGGCCTCTCGGAGTTTTTTTTCCCCCTCTTCCACTCTTCTGTGCTATCCCCATTTTTCCCACTAGATGGTGGCAGACACCACCAATTGGGGACAAAGGTTTGGGACCAAATAAAGAGAAGATAGTTGCTGGAGATCCACCCCCATCTCAGAAAGGATGTCAATTTCACCTGATAGTAACATAATTCTTTTTTTTTTTAAGAATTATTTATTTAATTGTATTTATTCATTCATTTATTTTAATTTGACCAGAAAAGACAGAGAAAAAGTGGGAAAGCAAGCCACCAGGTCTGGGACATGAACCGTGGTCAGCCATGTGAGTGTCCAGTGCCTTAACCACACACTACTTGGTAGTTTCCAACATAATTCTTCTAAAACACATTTTTCTTAAGGCTATATTATTCTTCTATGTAGATTCTTTTTATAACTACATTGATGAAGAACACAGGCCCACGTATAAAAATGCTCACCAATATATTTTTCTTGGCTTCCCACCCTCCCCTGTCCCTGCCTTTCTATTTTCGGCAACAGCAGAAGGATCCAGGGACAGAGACCAGTTATACATTTCTTAAAATGCTGATATTAATAAAAATTGAGAATCAGGCCAGGCCCATGGCCTAGTGATTAAGGGTGCAAGATCCCACCTGGCCAACCACATGTCTCAAATCCCAGCCCCAGTGGCTTGAAAAACACGCTGGGCACATGTGTGAGTCCAAAACCCTGACAAGATGGAGAAGGGATTGTGGGGTGAACATGCCTCACTGGGGGGTACTTTATCCCTGTTTCCCCTTCAGTGGCTCTCTCTCTGGTGTGTGTATGAATGAGCCCTGCAGCAAAATTTAAGAAAAAAATGAGTGCTGCAGCTCATTGACTGGTCTGCAGACGGGCTGCTCCCAGGCAGGGCGGGAGAGGAGCAGAGGTTCTGGGGCATTCAGGGACCAGCAGTCACCGTGGCCTGCTCTCTGTTCCGAGGCCCGGTTGGTCGTCTCACCCATGATGCTCTGCTCTCAGGGAGCAACACAACTAGGAACGAGCCCTGTAAGAGGCTATAACCTGGCAGCAGAAACAGCACCTTGAGATCAGGACAAGAGGGTCAGGCTGGAATCCCGTTTGTGGACAGGAACTTTACATTCCAGACCTGAGCCTGGACTAAGAGGAAACCGGGCTCGTGAGCTGAAGAGGATACGGTCAGCACAGCAGGTGCCAGTGTCTGCACAAAAGGACAAAAACAGGCCCAGCTGTGCCAGTGCAGGTGGCAGGGCACAGCCACACAATGCCAGAGCCATATGGGCGGTCCCCGTTTCTATCCCCTGCTGTCCTGGACACATTGGGCTGGGGCACTGGGACCCTGGCTGGTTAGAAGGATGGGAGTGATTGTGGTGCAAGGCCCTTTCAGGAGGGCTCTCTACTTTGCAGGTTCTCTCTGTCACAACAAATAAACTTTAAGGGGGTTAAAAGAAGATGAAAACATGGGACCAGCAGTTGGCCTAACAGCTATGTCGCTGGACTCCTATGTAACCAACTGCATTTTGAGTCCTGGACCCGGTAGCTTACATTAACGCCAGGCATGTGTGCGTGCGTGCCCAAGACCCCTAGAGGAGAATGGAAGAGAAGCGATTGTGGCGTGGCCATCCTCCCTGGGGGATAATTTCTCTCTTTCTGTCTCCCTCTCTGTCTTTCTACCGAGTGCATGTGCCCTATACCAAAAACCTCTCCAAAAATAAAATAAATAAAACTTTAAAAGGAGATGAAAACAGAGATGGGCCCCTGTGAAGAGGCCTTGGGCTCCTGAGAGAAAGATTATCCTGATCGTCTCTTGAGCAGAGAGGTCTCTCATGGGATGGTGGGCAAATAGAGCAAGCCCTGGGCAGGGAGGAGGCTTTGGAGAAATAGAGTGGGAGGTGATGAGCTTTCCTTTTGTATTTCACATTTTTGTGGACAGAGAATTGAGGCAGAAAAGAGGTAACCAGAACAGTGCCTGCTTTGGAGGGACTTCCCAGCGCCTGGGTGCAGACGCAGAGTTCAGGGCCCCGCAGCTCCAGCACCCTAAGGACTTTCTCATCCTGCACGCACGCACGATGCTTTGTGTCAAGTACCTGACATGAAGTAAAAGGGACCTTGTTTCAGAAACGAGAGCTGCAGCCGGACCCTGCTGTGTGGTCTGACCACACCTAGCTCGTGCCCCTTCCCCCCTTTAAGCCCCCAGCAGCACCCTGTCTGCCCAGACCTGTCGAGCTGCTGCTCCTTCATTCAAAAAGACCCTGAAATC